GCTGACTATGGGTCCAGCATATCATCCAATATGACAGAATATTCTTGATGTCATACAGAATATTCTTGTTTATTCAGGGCTACCTCAGAATGAACTTTAAGTGTGCCAGAGTTTAGATTTTAGCTGCAAGTAATAAGCGAGTTATTAAACAATCTTTCATCCCGGAACTTTATGAAGATCTGTATATATATATATAAAATTATAAATTTTAATAAATTTTCTAATAAATACCTTCATTAGAAAATGGATTTAATAACTGATTTAATTTTGGCTTTGGTTTCAGCGGTGGTTTTGGCTTTGATTTTATATGTAGCGTATTGTAACTAATTTGGTGTTCAATGGCATAATAATCAATAAAGTTATCATAGTCATATTCCTTTATTTCATTTTCTGAAATTATCTTGAAAATTTTTTTATCATTTAGCAATATTATTTCGTTTGCATCATAATATGAATTAAGCCCACTAAACTGTTGGATATTATTATTGAATTGAATTTGTATCGGGATCAACTGTATCTGTTTCATATCGCTAATATGAACTTCGTATAAATATACTTCGTTATAATTTGACAGAAAATAAATATAACAGTCTTTTAAATAACCTATTGAGCTGGCTGATTTGATATTACTTAAATCTGGGATCAACCATGGTGACCAAATATTTAAATTAAAATCACTAAACTCTTTAAATGATATGTTATACCATATGAATACCATACCATTCATAGTAATAGCAACAAAATAACGATACGAACAAAAAATATTTTTGATTTTATAGTTATTTTCAAATACTATCAAAGTCGGAGAACTGTCACCCACTTCACCATTTGTATTTCGCGCGTAATTACTGCCCCACCCGTACACCTGTCCATCGGTGGTGAGGGCCAGGGAGTCCTCATAACCACAGCATATATGTGTTATATTCTTGTCATTCAAAAACAATAATTTTTCCGGTATTAAATACCCTTCCAATGGTGTCATATCACTGCCTAACTGTCCCCGCCCGTTGTATCCCCAACCGAACACATGGTTGTCCTCATTGATAGCCAACACAAATTCAAATCCATTGATAAACTGTTGGATCCGTTGTTTACATAATTGTGGTATTATTTGCGGAGTTTTCACTTTCATGTCGTGGCCCAAACCCAGACAACCCATTGCATTTGCACCCAGACCATATACACAATCAGTATACGTGGCAAATAAAATATTCTTTTCAAACGCTCTGTCATTGAAAACGTGAAATAATTTGATTTTAGGTTTAAAAGTATCAATTTTGTCGCAAATTTTAAATTTGTCTAAAATATCACACATTTTAAATAGATTTGTAGAAATATTATAAATATTAATAAACTAGTAAAATTAAATATACGTAAAGTATGACGCCCAAAAGCAACAGTGTTACTCAATATAAAGTCAATTGTATGGTGTCGTAAAAACTGTTGTCATAGAAAATATGTGATAATTGTATGATATCTACAGTATACAAACAATAAACAATTTTTACAGTTATTGATAATTTGAAAATATAGTTACAAAGAAAATTATATTTAAAACAAAATTATTAAGGTTTTTATAAAAGTATGGATTACAATTAAATTTTTATATTATTAATGTAATAATAAATTTTGAAAATTATTTTATTTTTTAGCAGTGTTTAGAATCATAGCTATTTCCCAATTAAGTTGTGGTTAACTGGATTAAAATACTTTTTATTACATGTACTGTATGTTATAATTATCTCAAATGATACCAATGGATACACAGATATAATTAACAAAAGGTTTTTAGGTAACTATATCTTTAAAGTTAATATATAATTATAAATAAAAATAATTTTTACTTTTTACGAGCCCCGGGATGGCAAACTGTACGTGAAGTACGAGGTGATCGGTAGGAATCACGTGTCAGTGCCCACGCATTTCTTTAAGGTAGTCGTGTGGGAAACGGCCGGCGCTTACGATATGGAGGCCTATGTGTTGCCCAATCAGGTGGTGGACGATAGGACGGCCTTAGAGTCGTTTCGGGTGCCCATCGATACGGTGGAGCGCGCGGCGGGTCTACTGTTTTTTCAGCGCATACCGAGACATGAGTTCCGGTCTATTAATGGCAAAAGTGTGTGATTTGTAGGGTTTGTGGTGAACACCGATTGCGTGAAAAAACCATTGAGTAGTGATTTTTGGGTAGATTTTGTGTTTTATTGACTGATTGTATACTCAAATAACAGTGAATTTATGAAATAGTCATACGTTTGTTATATTTGTATACCGAAATCACTATAATCAATTTAAATTCAATGTATTATCGGCAGAGCTCTCATTTCAAGTAATTTTCAGTTAAAAGTGAGGTTTACATCAATAAACAAAATTTTGGTAAATATAATATATTGAATTATGTAAAACTTTATTACATCTTCTAACAAACAATTACATTATATAGTATACAAATAAGTTAATTTAATGCATAATTTAGTTAATTTAGTAGACAATTAAGCTAAATCAGTACATTATTTAGTTAATTCAGTGCACAATTAAGCTAAATTAGTGCATTATTTAGTTAATATGATGCTCAATTAAGTTGATCTAATTAAAAATTACCCTAATTTTGTGCGTAATTTAGTTAATTTAGTAAACAATTAAAGTAATTTAGTGGATAATTAGATAGACTTATTAAATTTTAAATGTTTAACTAATTGTATTTTCCCAATTATTATACATTTATTAAATATTAATTTTAATTGAGTGTGATTTGGAAGTGGAGAAAAGTTATGTTATGTGAGTAATGCTATTTGAGTGCTTGCCTTAGTAGAGGCAGAGATTGGGCAGAGGATTTTTTCATGTGATGCTATGCATTAGTATTACTTGAAATGAGGGCTCTGATTAGGAACCTCAGTTTCAGGTATCAAATGAATAAAAACTCTAAGCAGGTAAACCCTAGACAGAATAATTCATATGTGATAGGTATATTCAATATAAATACCTCAGTTTAGCTTTGAAAACTTAGTAATGTAAAGCAAAAGCTTTAAATTAGCATCTTACGCATACAAAATATATGAGTAAGATGCTAATTTAAAGCTTTTGCTTTACATTACTAAGTTTTCAAATCTAAACAGGTATTTATATTGAATATATCTATCACATATATAATTTACTAAAAAATAATTCATTTATTGCCCCTTTAAAATTAATATAATGAATTGTCAATGATTAAAATATTTACCCTTAATTAATATAATATATGAGCAATAGTTTTAAAATTGCTTGATGGGATTTTGCTGTCTGATAGACACAATGTTATTTCAAAAATAAAATTTAGTAAAAAATAAGTTAAAAAAGGTAATATCCCTAAACTACCGGATCCTTAAGTTGCTGGCTCTGATTATCGGTATTATTGTATAAATACGATTTTATTATGAGATTAGTTTTACAAAATTGTTTACAGAAATTCCAAATATATTAAAATCATTTATTTACAAATATAATTATACAAAGTAAGACATTATTTACAATTTTAAGTGTAAATATTTTGTGTAATTAATTAAATAATAAAAATAAAATATTTACAGTTTTATTATTTTATTAATTGAATTGAATTATGTATACACAAACAATTATTAGTAATATTATTTAAATTGTATCTTGTTTAAAATTATTTGTGATCCCAAAACTATCTGTACAAAATGTACTTGCTACTATTCATTTAAACTACGAAATCATTAAAATACTTTTAATTAGGTGTTTAAATTATTTAATTAATAGATCGTGATTTAATCCTGCAAACATTTGCTTTCATTGTTTGTTATGTACAATGTCATTGTTTTAAATAGAAAAGTGACATTAAACATATAAAATTATTTATTAATTCAACAAATATACTAGATGACATTAATAATATTTACTGTTAAATTCTGCTAATACAATCAAAATTGTTTTTTTTGTGAAAATATTTTTGTCCCAAACGAGGCTTAATTTTTAAGTATTCCTCATAAATATGAATTTAAAAAATCAGTGAAAAACTGATCATGATGCATTAGTTGGGTTAAAATTAATTCAACACTTGTCTCATTAAGAATATTCCGATCGATAGCCCAATCATTATAGTTATTCAAAACCTGCGAACAGTCCGGCCTTCGGTTCCAATTAGGGGTCGACATCATTGACAGCAATATGTTTTGCAATTCATTTACTTTTGTGTTTAAGATTTCATTTGCAGAGTAAAGGCTTTCAGTACTATATGTATAAAAAATTTAATTGTTGATTAAAATTTAATAAACATATTTAAGCATACTTATAAGGGTCGGTGAAAAATATATCATAATCAAACATTTCTGAACCAATCATTGCCATACTATAAATATCAACTTTATGTCCATACTTTCTACTTTGGGCTATTTCAGGAGCTTGGTACTTTATAGTGCCCACACCTGTCGAGTGTGATTGACTATTCATATCATTGAGTTCTTTGTCGTGAATTGTAGCCAAACCAAAGTCACATAACTTAATAAATCTACCGTTCCTTACATTTGCAGCGATTAATATGTTTTCGGGTTTGAGGTCTCTGTGAATGATCTGTGGATTCAATTCATGCAAATANGCAGCGATTAATATGTTTTCGGGTTTGAGGTCTCTGTGAATGATCTGTGGATTCAATTCATGCAAATACTGAACACTTTCTAAGATCTGACGGAATATTTCACACGAAATGAAATACTCGACACAATCCATGGCTTCTCTCAATTGTCGACCAAATACTTGTGGTTTCATTTCAAGAATATTTCTTAAATTTTGTGAACAGAACTCCATCTGAATGTAGAGAAATTTGCTTTCAGGCCATGAGTTGAAATAATGGACCACATATTCCGAGCGAACTTTTATTAAATTCTTCACTTCGTCATAAAACTTTTGCAAGTATTCTTCAGATCTGGCTGATTTGTATTTCAAAATTAATAAACATGTAAATTTATTTATTTATCAATTTACTGTTAATCTCAACTTTTTTGAGGGCATATATGCATTCTTCGAATCTATGTTTGACTTTAAATACAGTCCCAAACCCTCCCGAACCGATGGCCGACAACTCAATGAACAGACTTTTGTAATGACTTTTAAACATATTGTCTTAATTTTTAAAGTAAAGGATTTTTTAGCCAATAATAAAATTCAAAAATTATATTTAAAATTTAGTCAAACCTTCATTCTTTAAAAACGCATTTAATATTGGCTTTGATTTTGTTTGTATATTTTGATTTTCTTCAGAATTTATATTTTTTATAAAATTATAGAAAAACTGATTGTCACTGTTTTGAAGTCTACTTAATATGCATTCAAATCGGGTATCATTTGCGAGAATATTTCTGTCGATAGACCACTCTTTATATTCGGACAATACTTCACTGCATTCCGGCCTTTTCTGCCACAATCGGGTCCTAAACATCGATATCAGGATCGTTTGCAGTATATATATCTGTTCGTTTAGAATTGGATATAATTCCGAATATACATTTGTACTATAAATTAAATAAATATTAATATATTTTTGAAAGATTATAATAAAATAATCAATACTCTTCTAATTCTAGATTAAATAAATCAATTTCAAAAATATTTCCTCCAATTAGTGCCAAACTATAAATATCACATTTATGTCCGTATTTTCCTCCCTGAGAAACTTCTGGAGCTATATATCTCATATCCCCGACATCTGCGGTGTGTTTTTGTGTCGTCCGGTAGTGAACGCGTTTGTCGTGAACTGTAGCCAAACCAAAGTCACATAACTTAACAAATCTACCGTTCCTTATATTTTCAG